TGGCTTGATATATAGACCAGGCTAGTCTCGAACTTATGCTGATCTTTCTGTCTCAACCTCCCAAGTACTAGGATTACAGAAGTGTACCACAAGGCCTGGCTGGCCTGACTTTTAGGTGGGTGCTAGAGCCAAGATGCCATTAAAGACAGTTTTATTGTTATAACATACTAACAAAAAAGTGCCCAAGCATTCACTGCACTACTCAATAGATTCTCACAAAGCCAACACCCTGGTGGGTTAGTCCCTTCTAGCAGTTATAAAAGGTTGTCATAGATTGCAGGCTGATAGACAACAGGGTGATTTCTCATGGAGTGCTGGAGGCTAGGAAATCCATGGTCAGTAGATTGCGTGTCTGTCTGGTAAAGGCTCTACAATCCATACACCTGCCTTTTCCGAAGTACAGGGACCAAATTGCTCTCAAATCATTTGTTAAAGGAAGCGGCCTTGGTCATGAGAACACCACCCTCCTCACAGCTTCGTCTCCTAACACTACCACAGTGTGGGTGAAGATTTGGATGTGTGGATGGTGAGAGGAGGGGACACAATCACCACCTACAGCTTCCAGGGCTGAGCTCCATTTCTTCTGGGTACCAAAGTTATCGAGATGATTGGGGAGCATATTTTAATGTCCCCAGAGTTCCGCTGGAGACTTCAAAGCTAACATTCCTTACATTGACTTTTACATCACAGGCAGATGTCCTTTTACAAAGGAGAAACTACAAAAACAAACAAGAAAGACGCAGTACATCACATACTGGAAATCACCCGTTGCTATTTTAAATACAATGCGAACCTTCTAGGAGGCAGGCTGCTATTTATTCCAGTTCATTAAACCCCGGAAGGGGCTCCTCTGCACATTTAGACAGGTTGGTTTTCTCCCTGGGGCATTTAGTGGGAAAGTGACAGTGAAGGGGTGGGCCCTCTGTCCTTGGCCACTTTCATGTTCCCTACAGCTCAACGCATACATCTCTTGATATCCTAGGCAGATCCACCGTGGGGGTCAGCTGGAGAGGCAGTGTCTAATTCTAGTGCAGGCTCAACCCTCAGACAACCTGGGCTCCAATCCAAGTTCTATCACAGCCTCGCTCAGTGACCCTGGGCAAGCCACTTATTTCCTTAAACACCAGAGCCCTCAGGTGTAAAATGAGTCCTACTCTGTGTGGGATGTGATCATATCAGAGGGAAATGGGGCATGTCAAGGCTTATCACAATGCCTGCTGTGTTGAAGGTCCGCTCCTTGGTTATCATGACTAGATAACATCCTCCCTCCTGGAACACAGGCAGGAAGATAGAGCAGTCAACTCAGACCCATTTTCAAGACAGGAAGGAAGGGAGCAGAGGCAGGGGAATCTGGAATGGTCCTGCAGGCAGCTAACCATCACCACTTGCCTTCAGGCTGTGATTCTGGAGGATTCTGCAGCACACAAACTCCGGAACGTGGAGGGGCAGGTTTGTTCCTGTGGGTCTGAGAGACTCCTGCACCACCATGCCAGAAATAACAATAGTGAATCCCAAAGCCTGCAGTGTCCAGGCTAGTGGTAGTATGGTTCCTTCATGAGGCTCCTTCCACCTGGCTGAATCAACATTCAGCCAGGAAGTTACTTGTCTTTGGAAACAAATCAATGCGAGAGTGGCTTCAGGAGAAGTCACCATGACAACCAGGAGCCAGTGGCTGATAGGATCTGAAGCCTTCCCCGACAACCCCATGCACCATACACTCAGACTTAGTTGATAAGGAGCCCGACTCTGGCAATGGCAGCAGTTGGGGTCCCCTGGGTAGGAGAGGGAGCACAAGGCTCACCAATTCCTTCTTATGGCTCCCCAGAAGGCTTCTGTGAAGTGCTCAAGGGGTGAAAGCACTCTGGGTAATTGCCCTCCCAAAATAGCTCTCGGAAATGATCCCTGTAGGGCCTCTGGGAGCCAGGCAGGAAGCTAAGGCTGGGTTCCCCAAAGCACCAGGGGAAAGACCCTCGGGATGAAGTGCCTTCCTGCTGTCTCTTTCTGGCCCACCCGAGTGTCCTGTCTCGGGACTCTTCTATTAACAACTTCATTTCCAGGGAAAGGCATGGGATTTAATCTTCCAGAAATTTTGAAGCCTAGTGTAGCCTTTCCCTAAACTGAAATGCTAAAGTCAGAGTTGGTGGTTCACAAGGGAGGCTACAGATCCTGAGTTCTGGGCAAAAAAAAAAGAAAAAAAAAAGAAAGAAAGAAAGAAAGAAAAAATCTCTCTCTCTCTCTCTCTCTCTCTCTCTCTCTCTGTGTGTGTGTGTGTGTGTGTGTGTGTGTGTGTCTGAGACAGGGTTTCTTTTCTCTGTGTACCCCTAGCTTTCCTGGAACTGTCTCTATAGACCAGGCTGGCCACAAACTCAGAGATCCACCTGCCTGCCTCTACCTCCTAATTGCTAGGATCAAAGGTGTGAGCCATCACAACCAGACAGGAATAAATCTCTTAATAGGGGAACTCCTCAGATCCTGGGGAATGGGTATGAACGGAAGCTCCAGGGAGTTGGCTTTAGGGGATGAGATGAGTAATACTCTTTACCAAGAAGGCTGTCTATAGTTCAGGTTTAAAGTCTAGCAGATCTAGGGCTGGACTTCGTTGTGTGCCCTTGGGTGGGAGCTCAGTCCTCATGTCTATAAAACACAGTCCTAATGCTTAGTGTTCATAGCTGTAGACACAAAGTCTGAGACAATGTCTCAAAGTGGGACCAGCTAAGAAGACAATAGTCGTGGGAGCCAGGAGCCAGGGCTGGTTCTGACCATCTGGGTGAGACTAGGATGTTTATCAGCCAAACAATGCCTGGGTATGGCAATTAGACAACCATAGAAAGGCTGGAGAGAAGGACAAATTTAAAAAGCCAATGCTTGGGTGTAGTTGTGCTTAAAATCATGGGGGTTGGGGGGGAGTAGAAGAGAGTCCTCCCAGTGGGGAGACAGAAGTTGAAAGTGCACTGGGTATTTGGAAAAGAGAGAAGCAGTAAAGACCCTCGGCAGGGTCACAACCTAGCCTGGAGACTCTCAACACAGAGCCTGAAGAGTCCCACTTGCTAAGGGAAAGGAAGACACAGGAGGACTTGCTTTCCCAGCAGGGCGGCTCTTGGGTGGCAGTGTTTTAATAAAGATGAGCTATGAGCCTAGTATGAAAAGCTATCCTCTGCTACTCCACGAACCAGGCCTGGCTCATTGGGACACACCTGTAATCCCAGCACTCAGGAGCCTGAGGCAGGAAGATCAGGAGTTGAGATCACCCTAGACTACACAAAGATCTCATCTATAAAGCCTGGCATAGTGGTTCACACTTGCAATCCCAGCACTAGAGAGGCTTACGCAGGAGAACCGCCATTAGCTCAAGGCTAGCCTGGGCTACATGGTAAGTTCTAGGCCAGCCTGGACTATAGACTGAAATCCTTTTTTGAAACAAACAAGCCTGTCAGTCAATCTACCAAATAACTAAAGCTAACTCATAACACCAGTGTAGTGGACAGTCACAAAAGGTGCTGAGCGAGATGAATCTGCCCATCTCAGAGAGAACACGGCTTGTCCAACCGGTCTCTGTTAGCTGAATGACTGCAGTCATCCAGTCAGGCCTCAAGTATCTGTCTGTCATGACAGGTTAATTCCACTTGAGCAGACCTGGAAGCTAAATGGGTCCTGCTTGTGAAGTAACAGGATACTCACAGGCGCTCAAAAAATAGTGTCCTTCTTTGGCAAGTAAAAAAAAATAGATTCTTCCCTGTTATCACTCCCAACACCCCTGATGGCAATCCAGGGACAGATTGTATCAGGCAAGCTGTCGGGTGCAAACAATAGAAAATCCATCCAACAGTGGCCTAATTAGGTGTTCATTTTCGTCAAATAAGGACAAGTCTAGGAACAGATACTGCTGGTTCCAACATTGTGCAGGCTACTGTCTGGCCCTGTTATCCCCGCTCTCAAGGCTAACCAGTGCCTCTGGCAGCTCTGCCATTAGGCAGGAAAAAGATAGACAAAGCGCATTTCATAAATGTAAAAAATAGTTTAATACAAACATAACAAGCTGAGGGACCTAGGGAGACAGCTCCTGCAGTAAAATACCTGCCACAGGAGCATGAAGGTCTGAGTTCTGATCTCCAGCTCCCCTAAAATCCAGGCATACCAGTGCACACCCATAACCCCAGCTTTGGAGGCTTTGAGGGGGTGGGTCCTGCAGCTCATTGTCCATCTTAGCCCATCACTGAGCTCCAGGTTCAGTGATCCGACCATCACAAAAGGCCTGGCGGTAGTTAGTGGTGCATACCTTTCATCCTAGCACTTGGGAGGCAGAGGCAGGCAGATCTCTGAGTCCCAGGTCAACCAGATCTACAGAGCTAGTTCCAGGACAGCCAGGGCTGTTACACAGAGAAACCCTGTCTCAAACAAACAAAACAAAACAAACAAGCAAACAAAAAACAAATATCCTAATGGTACCTTACAAACCTCCTTCCCCAAATTATACACGAATTGTATCTTTGCCATTCTTCATTGACTTACCACATATGAATATAGAACAAGCTTTACCTGTTCTTGGATTTTATACAAATGCAGTTGTATATATGCCCCTGACCCACCCTCCCAGACAGGGTCTCATGTATCTCAAGCTGATTACACAGATGAGAATGACACCAAACTCCTGTTGCTCCTGCTTCTACCTCCTGAGTGATGGGGTTACAGGCATGCACCATCTGGCCTGGTTTATGTGACGCCAGGGTCACACCTAGGGCTTCATGCATGCCAGGGAGCTCTCAATCCGTATGCTTTCCTGTGACTCATTTCTTTCTTGTTTAGATTTATCCATGTTGACCGTGGCTTTCATATATTCATTTTCTCTACTGTATAACATTCTATTATGGAAGATAGTACCATGTATGCTCAGGGGATTTTGAGCACTGCTGCAGATTTTCTGGCACAATTCCCACAGTTACTGTAAAAGCTGCCCTCTGCACTGTGTTGCTGGGTGTTCAGCCCCACAAGGAGCTGCTGAACCTTTCCCAACTGGTTGCTCCCTCCAGGGATAGGGGCTCCCCATTGCCCTACATTCTCATCAGCAGTGAAGACTGTTCTGTTGGCTAGTTTCCCGAGACTTTTCAGTTCCCCAGAGTGATCTGAAACCACACATTCCTCTCTCCACGCTACTGTAGCACAGTGCTCATCCGGTCGTACTGAATCCTGTGAGATGCCACCCCTCCTGTCTGCTGGCCATTCTAATTCCATCCCCATCTTTGGCACAAACTAAGAGCCATCTTCTGGCTCCTGGTGGAGGAAGCTGCAGCAACTTTTGATCTCTCTCCTTCTATGGGGACTCTCCTTTGTGTTGCTGACCTTGAAGTCCCTCCGAGGATGTAAGTGAGCTCAGAACGGCCTGTCTGTGAGTAAGCCCATAAACCAGGGTGTGGGTTCTGTAGCATTTGTATTGGCCGTGAATAACCTTTCTGGATTTTGTTTTTCTTTGAGGACTGTTGCATGTTCATTTGGTTTGGGGTTTTTTGTTGTTGTTGTTGATTTTTTTTCTTTTCCACCCCTCCCTGGTTTTTGTTTATTTTCCTCCTTTTCCTCGTTCCTGACAATGTTCCAAATAGCTGAGGTTTTTGTATAAATCGCTTAGGGACAAATGAAGTGCCACTGCCCCTTGAGAGTGTACTTCTGACCGACTCCTGTACTGCATTCAATTTTGTTCTGGTGGGTCCCCAAATGTCAGGGCTCCTGCTAGCAGATGGCACACCCCCTACAACAAGAGACACCAGCTATTCCAAAGAACCCCATTCTGTCCTGGAAGTATCTATAGAAACAAAGGTGTGAGAAAATTCTGACTTTTAAATGGGACTCATGCTGCACATAGACTTTTAACAGATTATTCAGTGACTAATTTGATGGCAGAGCCAACGAACTGCCTTGAGAAGTTTTATTAAAAAAACATTTTGACAGGGGCTAAGACTGCATTGGTGACTGAGTCTGACAAAATTTATTAGCAGGACATTGTGTCACCCACAGAATCGTTGGGTGAGCTGGAGGACAGGGTGGGAGCCATGCAGCCAAAAATAGTACCCAGTGAGGCCCTAGTGCTTCCAGCAAGCCTCAAATACTTCATCTTTCCTCACCCACACTGGATACTGGATGTTACCACTGCTGTCTCAGGAACTTGGGCTTCCTGCTATGAAGCCCTTGACAGGACGGCTTCCTTTAGATATGCCTGGTAGCATGTCCTTTCCTAGTAGTACAGGAGGCTGGGAAAACAAATACATCATTCAAGTTTGGATTTTACTCTGTGACAGAACATGTAAAATAGTTGTGGTGTAAACAAAATACACATTTGTTTTGCCTGTGTTGAAAGATAAAGACAGTGCAGGATGGCTATAACCTGCTCCTCCACTGATCTACGCTCTTGCATGCTCCCTAGCACATGTTTGAGATCTGCCATCACGCCGTGTTCCTGCCGTCAGGAAAGAGAACGGGGCTGGATGGGAAATGCGCCCCACAGACTCAGGCGTTTGCACACCTGGTGGTACTGTTTTGGGAGGTTGTAGAACTTTGAAGAGGTGAGGCCTGGATGACGGAGTTGCTAAGAGGCGGGTCTTAAGGGTTAGATTCAGCCCTGCTTCTGGCTTGCCTGGGTGTGAGAACTCGGACATCTGAAACCAAAAGCCACACTAGCCCTTCCGCCCTTAAGATAAACTCTCAGGTCTTTGGTCACAGTGAAGATCTGAGTACTGAATTCATCTACTATCTACTTCCTGGAAAGTGTACATGCCACTTCCAGCTCAGCAGTTGAATTGGTTACTTGGCCGCATCTAACAGAGAAGGGGTTTGATCCAGATAGCCAAGCACACAACTATAAATTGGAAACTGTTTTGTTTGTTTTTGTTTTTCAACATAGGGTTTCTCTGTGTAGCCCTGGCTCTCCTGGAACACACTTTGTAGACCAGGCTGGCCTTGAACTCTCAGAGATCTGCTCGCCTCTGCCTCCCCAGCGCTGGGATTAAAGGCATGCACCACCACTATTCAGCTAAATTGGAGACTCTATTATAAAAGGAAAATGGGAAAGCTGAATGCCCCCTCCCTGGGGATCAGCTTTCATAGTTCCAGAAGGCATCATGAAAGCTTCCAAAGGAGGGAGGCAACCGGCCCACATCAGTGACCAGCATGCCTGATAATGTAGTAGTGACACACATACCTTGGTGATAACCAACAGCTCTCTAATTGGACTTAAGACTTGCTTAGAAAGAGGGAGGCCATGCCTGGTACTGGAAACCTAGCTCACTACTCAGTACTAGTGAAGTCATTGAAAAAGAATCTACAACCACTAATTTACTAAGTCCCTAACAACAATTTATAAACATTTGTCCTTGTGCCCACAGATAAGTACAGTCTTCACCCCTCATCAAGGAAGCTCCTCTTTGCAACAGATGGAGACCACTACAGAAAACCACAACCAATCATAATGCAGAGTTGTGGAGCCCAGTCCCAATACATACATCTACAAACACTCCTGTACCGAAGGCTTGGGGAACTTGCAAAAGAGGATTCTAAAAGACTGTGAGAGCCAGGGGATCATGGAATTTGCTGTGAGATTGTGTCTCCTATTAACATCAGAAGCTACAACCCCCAGAGTCTCACCAGCATGACTGCCCAAATGTGAGCTGAACAAGTAGACACTAATAGGCATGCCAAAGTGGACGTGGGAAAGCCCGTGAGGCCTCTATCCTACACAAAGAACAGCGGGAACAGGAGAGGAGGTCCTCCCTGGGGAAGAGCACAGCCATCGATTGTCTGGTGCCAAATGGTCTGAAAACATGTATATAAGTAACATGACAGGGACTGAGCAGGTTGTATTTAAGAATATATATTGCGTGCAATAATGAAAAAAGAGGCCATGAATTTGGAGACCATTGGGGATGGATATGTGGATGGGTTGAGAGGGAGGAAAGGGAAGGGAGAAATGTTATAATAATATCATAATCCCAAAAATAAAATTTTAAAAATTTTAAAGGAAAGGAAAGATGGGAGATTGGCTGTCAGAGGATGGCCTGTCACATGAGGTTAGCATTTTTGCCTTTGGTTGTGGGGTATGATCTCTATTGCTCATCAGGGATCAGGAAAGCCTAAGTGTGGGGGCAGGACACTCTCCAAACAGGAAATGGTTTGCTAAGAAGTAGTTACTAAAAATTATGGTTTGGATCTTAAATGGCCTCCAGAGACCTATAGTCACCAATACCTGTGACAATCTCTGCAAGTACCAACCTGTGACAATCTCTAGAGGTGGGGACTAATGGAAAGATGTTAGACCATTGGGGCAGGTGTGCCATTGAAGGCTGTTGGGACCCCCAGCTTTGCCCTCTCCCCTACAGGGTGAGCAGCTTTGTCCCACCGCACACTCTAGCTATCAAAAATGGAACTCCATGACCTTCTGGAAGTGAAGTCAGGATTTTCTGACTGCTCACGTGGTATCACAGGGAGATAGCCCTAGCTCAGGGCCTGTCTCTACCACCTTCTACCCTGGCCATGCCTGAGGCCAGCCCATATCTCCCCGTTCTGTGTGCTTCCCAGAAAGCAGCCACCATCCCTGGAGCCACTGGGAGAGGGCAGACTGTTGGAACAAGCCCAAATGAGACCTGGAAATGAGCGTGGGCCATCCAGGCAGATGTTGGGGTCTCGAGTGCTATGAGAACATCTGAAAGCAGCAGCTGTGGCCATGTGTACTGATCAGGTGTCTCCCTGGATCCAAGGACTGTTCATGCCAGAGACAAAGGGAGGGCAGGACAGAGGTCTACAAACAGCAACAGCATCGTCTCACCCAAGGGGTGCAGGCTTGTATTTTCCACAGAGTGGGCAGGGCTTGTTCACAGTGTGAATTGAGACTAAGTGGGAACTGTTTTTGAGAAGTTTTGTTTGCAGTGCCAGGGATTAAACCCAGGGCTTCCTGCATGCCGGGCAAGTGCCGGACCACTGAGCTATACCACGAGCCTCAAAAGTTCCCCCAATAGACCAGGAACCTGCAGAAGGCCTCATATTTCTGACCAGAGATTTCTTTAGCTGTGACTCTGAACTGGGGAAGGATTCAACTCCTAATTGTATTTCTCATTCCCAGCAACAAACCAAAACCAGATTAGAACAAAGCAAAATAGAGAACGGCCATCCCTTCAGACACTGAGCCAGCTGCCTCTGGCCTGCTCCTGCCAATGCCCTCCAATCCGGCTCCCTTCTCCAACTCCCAGCTCACTCCTTCCCTCTGCCCGCCCTGCTTGGCTGAAGTCTTGATCCCTGCCATGGCTACAGGAAAAACAACACAACACTGGGCAGAGGAAAGCCCCGTGGCAGAGCCCTACTGAGCATTAGAACCAGGAATTTCCGTGACGACACAGCCCAGAGGGAAACCTTGGTATCTTGGATCGAAGATCAGGAAAACGTAGCTCCAGAGTGGGAGGAAGAAAGACCTTCCAAAGGCCAAGAGGCTGCTGGGAAGATCAGATGGAGGAGGGGCTCTGTTAAGGTGGGAAGAAGTTAAAGCTCCTGCCACCCCGGTGGTGTCTAGCCCTTGAATATTCCCAGAAGTGCTTAGCATCTTCAGATGAGTGTCTTCAGAGGAAGGAATTTGGAAGCGGGGAGCAACAGGCAACTGAGACCCCTACTTCTGAGAGAAGCTGAAATATTCCTATGTCAGGACTACAGACCATGCATCTTACAGGCCTGGAAGGATGCTTAGTGGTTAACACTTCCAGGGAATGAATCTGAGGTAGCCCACAGGGGTGGGACCCAGCACTGGCTTATTTTAGAAGCAAAACACTCATGGATATATTTCTGGACCTCAAACAGGACAGGTGAAAGGAAGCAAGGAAAGAGAGGCTTGGTGTCTGTCTCCAGGGAGAGAATGGTCATGTGGCTTTCCCAGGTTTCCCAGGGAACACACACACACACACACACACACACACACACAAATACACACAAACACAGCACCTCTCAAAAATGCCTGTGACCCTGATGACCCGGCTGGATTCCCCACCCCAGCTCAGTCCCCCTGCTCTGGCTCTTGCAGCTGCCAGCACCTGCCAGCAACAAGGAAGCGGTGTACTGGGACTGCAGCTTTTCGAAGCTGCTTATGAAACCGATGACTAAGCCCCCAGGGCGGGAGAAGGGGGCAGCACATGCCTAGCTCAGCAAGAATGAGTACACTACCAACTTGGTCCAAGTCAGCGTGGGCTGACTGCCAGCCTTATGTTGGCCTAGTCCCTCAGGATGGGAAGACAGAAGGGTATGGTCCTTGCTGTGAAGAACCAGGCAGAACCATAGGAACTACAGTCAGGGACACAAATCTGCCAAAGAGGGAGAGAGCGATCTGACAGTGATGACTTCCCAGGGCGTCTGTGATGGAGGCAGAAAGAGGAAATTTTCCATCTGCATCACCACCCTGTAGTTGCAGACTCCTCGAGCAAGCACTCCTTCTTCCCCATGTCTCCTGATCCAGTCAGCCTAGCTTCTGGGATCTTTGTGGCCTCCAAGTTTCTCCATGTGTCTCCAACTGGTTCAGGCCCTCATTTCAAGCCATGACCAGACTCCCTGCACTAGTACCCCAGGCAGTGTCCACAACTCAGCTGCAGCCATTTGACTCCTCTCTTTGAAAACCCCATGTGATGTCATGCAGCCCCCAGAATAAATGCTAAGTCCCAAATGTGCCTCATGCTGTAGTTCAAATCGGCCCAAGGCTTAGAAGTAGAGCAAGCTTTGGTGTAGGTTTGGCTCAAGGGCTCACCCAAGTTCCTCCTCTGTCTGGATGTTGTGTTCTGGTCCCCTTTGTCATGTCTTAATGCTCAGACAGGCTTTTCTCATGGTGCCAAAATGGCAGCAGCAATTCCTACCTTTCCACTATGGTAGGGAGAGAGAGAGAGAGAGAGAGAGAGAGAGAGAGAGAGAGAGAGAGAGAATTAGTTTTATTCCCCGAGGCTGTCTTCTTCAGTTTCTTAGGTCAGAATGAGTCACATGTTACTCTTAGTCAAGAAGGATTTGTTGATAAGTCTATACTGGGGCTGTTTGCCCCACTTTAGGGTTAAAGTGGCATTAATTAAGGAGTGTCAGGGCTGTCCAACCTTTTGACATTGATGTCTACAAGTGTGTTAGACCACACGGACACATGTAGCCCAAGGGCTACCAGTTAGACATCCCTAGGGTCAGTCTACTGAGATGTGACAATCCACTAATTCAGTCCTTACGAGTGTCACCTCTTACTCTGTGCCATCTACTGTCTCATCTGCCCCATGCCAAGCCCTTTGCATACATGACAACAATCACAGAGGTAGAACCAAGACCCAGAGGTGACAAGGAATTTACCTAGTGTCATACAGCTGGTGGTTAGTGGATTTAGAATCCGAGCCCAAGCAGAACAAATATCTGTAATTATTACCGCCTCCTGCCTTACCCGGTTGCTCAAACAGCTAGGGATTAGGATAGACATGCAGGTGGCTGAGTCAACATTCTGATTCAGAAGTGTGAATGCTGGCTGTGCTGCTGAGGAACTGCATCTCTCTGCAGTATGCATGGGCAAGATCTGTCAGAAAAACCGACAAACAGCAGCAGGGCACCCTGGCTACAGAAAGCTGTGGCGATCCTTCAAGAACTGGATGCTGCCAATATCTAGCTGTCTCAGCAAAGCAAGCAAAGGAGGGTCAGGAAGGATCTGCTCCCCTTCAGATGAGCAGCAACCGGAAGCAGAGGCTACCTGCCCACTTGTGAACACATTCCTAGGCCCCGGAGAACAGAGCACACACAGACAGAAGCCCAGCACCTGAGGTAGCCTGTCAGCCACCTCATTGCCAGCATCCCCCTGAGCCTTCATCCTGGGCCTGCCTGGTAGAATTGGAGCTCAGGTGGGGTAACAGGTAGGCAGGTGACAGAGGTGGAAGGTGAGATCATTGCTCCTAAGGTGGTCAGAGAGAGGTGGCTGGAGACTATAATCTCAGCCCTAGGGAGCCTGAGGCAAGAGGACCTTGAGTTAAAGACCACATTGGCTGCTCTACCTATTAAGTTTCAGGCCAAGCTAGGCTACCTAGAGAGACCCTGTCTCAATACACCCCCCACACACACCCAGTTAAAAAAAAAGGGGGAGGGAAGAAAAGAGGAAAAACTGATGATGTTTATTCCCAGACTTTATGTAGGTGTGCTGACTTTTAACCATTGGATACTATTTCCTTATCATTTCTTAAACTCATAGCAGGACAAACAATACACATGAATAGTCCAGAAATAGCAAGTGGGCCCCTGTGCCCGTTTTCTGAGTCACAAGCAGAAGCTTCTCATTACTGAGCTACACAGCAAAACTCTACAACCCCCATCTTACCCCTGCTCCCTCCACCTGCCCCCTGACCTGCAGCTGCTGCTGCTGATGTAGCCATGACAAATAATTCCCAAACCCTACTGGGCCTAAGCCATCTGGGGACTCAGTCTGTCCCCTCTGTGAAGATACACTGAAGACCTGGAGTCAAATGGGTAAAGCAGAGGTTTTGAGGGTCTTGGTCCCTTTTGTGAATGGGGGTGGGTCGTTTGCATGGGGAACAGTAGCAGGAAAGACAGCCAAGCAGAGGGTGGAGGTCCCCTGTCCCCCACCCTCTCCACCAGGGGCTCCAAGGTCAATTCACTGGTGAGAATTGATCTTAGAGGGCAAAGGGTGAACCTGCTGTGGCCAGAAGGAAGCCTCTCTCTAAGGTGGTGACAGGAGCAAGGTTCTCCATGCTCCAGGAGGAACCACTGGGTTGCCAGTGCCTACAGTGGAGAGAAGACACCAATCATTGTGATTCTGAGACCGAAAACAAGCCCCCACCCCCAAATCTGTCATCGGATATTCAAAAAGAACCTGACTTTTTGTTCGTTATTTATTCGGGGTGTTTTGAGACAGCTGCGTCTCACTACGGCAGTTAGCCTAGCTTCTCGATTGTGACCCTCAACCTCTATACTGGAGATTACAGGTGTGAGCCACCATGCCTGGCAAGCTGTGTTCTTTTAAAATGGCCACACCTCAATTCTGGGGAAGTCAGCCATCTGGCCACTTCCCAGGTCCCTGTGAGCTGAGCCACCTATCATCCTGTCTGAGAGTCATTACCTTCATCTGACAGTCAGCGGCTCTCCGAACCCAGAAGAGCTTATAAATGTAAATTGTGACTATTTTAAGCCTGACACATCCGAGGGTAAAGACTTAACCCCTCCTACAGTTCTATGAAAAGCCAAATGGTTGTCACAAATGCCATATGTTTATGTATATCACTTACAGGAGAACATCCAGACCCTCTCTTTGAGTCCTTTTCTTTCTGGCTTTATACATGACTTGAACAAACTTGATTTTTAAGTTGGCAGATCAATTACAGAGGGGAGAGAGGTTGCCTGAGACACCCAGAGAGCAATCTGAAGTAAAAATTGCCCAACTACCGAATGCAAATATAGACACATGCATGCATGCCCTATAAATATGTATATCTGAGTAGTTAAAACCTGTACTTTCTTCATATTTTCCATATTTACTTAATATCCTTTTATGATTCCAGGATTTCATTCCAGTACTTTTAATTGCGCCGTGTCTTTGGGCCACCTTTCCATGCTGTACTCTTTGGAAGGAATTCACAATACAACTCCAACTCCACAAAGGAGAAATGTCTCCATAAATTATTTGAAATTTTTCTATGCAGAAGAACTCTGTCTTCCTCAAATATTTATTTACCTCATCATTTATTTATATCCGTATGTCTTTATATATTTATTTCTTACTTGGGACTTAAAATTGTTCATATCATCCCAGCTTTGATCACCGTGAGTTCTTCCAGTTGGTTCCTGTGCCCTGTGTCCTTTAGTCAGATCCCTTTCATTGTACAGTTTGGGGTCATTGTTGCTGTTGTTTTGTTTCAAGCATTTCCTTTCTTTCTGGAATATTCTCTAGGCTCATTTTGTATGTTTCCTGCCCAAGTCTTATAGGCAGTCCTTTCTTCAAGGGCTTCTGTGCCCTTTAACTGGAGAAGGTATCAGAAGCAGGGTATGGATGTTACTAAGTTCGCTCATTTCTGTGAGGCTGTGGCTGGGCTTCAGGCCCCTCAGCCAAAAGCACATTTATATATCTATAAATCATTCCGGAGGTATACCGTTGTCAATATTGACTTAAGCAAGAGTTCAGGCAAATGTCTCCAGCTCTTGTCCTTTACCACGAAGACGGTTATAACCTTCTTACCATCTTACCCCAGCCCAGGAGGCCTGCCTGCTCTAAATGGTTATATGGTATGGTTCGTTAACGGTTCAGGTCCTGTGTGTATGAACATTTAAGTCAGGATTGTTCCTCAGGGGCCGGTTCTGTCAACCACAGTCTTCTCACGCTGCACCCACACCTTTATTCTCATGAATTCGCTCATTTCCAAATCACTTAGCTCAGTTCCTCCTTCCCATTCTCTTTAGAGAGGTTTTAAAGCCCCAGTTTGGGGATTTTCTATTGAAGTGCTTTCAAGTTTACTAATTGCTCCATCAGCAAACCAAGTCTTCTTGTGAGCCCATCAAAGGCATTCTTCATTTCTATTACAATGTATTTTATTTCCTTTTTGTTTGTTTTGTTTTGTTTGTTTGGTTTGGTTTTTCAAGACAGGGTTTCTCTTGTGTAGCCCTGGCTGTCCTGGAACTCACTCTGTAGACCAGGCTGGCCTGGAACTGGTAGAGATCTGCCTGCTTCTGCCTCTGCCTCTGCCTCCCAAGTACTGGCATTAAAGGCATGTGCCATATTTCCTCTTGTTTCTTATTCTTAGAATTTCCCACCTTCTGATTATTTTTATCCTTCTCTTCTCCCATGTTGCCTGTTTTTCCACTGTAGTTCTTTCTATTTTAGTTATTTTAAGTTCTTTGTCTGGGGCCTGAAGACATGGCTCAGCAGTTGCAAATGAAATGATCTTGCAGAGGACCTGAGTTTGGCTTCCAGCACACATCAGGCAGCTCTCAACTGCCTGTAATGCCAGGGGTATATGATGGATGCCTCTGGACTCTTCGGGTACCCACCCAAGTGCATCCACATATATACATGATTAAAATAAAGTAAATCTTTAAAAAAAAATTCCTTCCAAAATCTGTCACGTCTGACTCCAGAGCTCATGGTTCTTGCTTCGTTCATACAAACCATTTGCATTGCTTTTTAAATACATATTTTATGTTTACTTTATGTCCATTGGTGTTTTGCCTGCATGGATGTCTGTGTGAGAGTATCAGAAGCTCTGGAATTGGAGCTACAGACAGATGTAAGCCTCCATGGGAGTGCTAGGAATTGAACTGGGGTCCTCTGAAAGATCAGTCAGTGCTCTTAACAGCTAAGCCATCTCTCCAGCCTCCATTTGCATTGCTATAGGGTCTTAGAAACTGAGATAATAGAAGTTTCATATTAATCTGGCTAGCTAGGTTGTATTTACTGTTTATCTGTAACTGGTTGTAGGTACCTGGTCTTCTCTGTGTTGGGAAAATTCCTAGAAACTCCTCCTTACAGAGATTCTGGAAGGGGCCGGGCTTTGGTGGCACACGCCTTTAATCCCAGCACTTGGGAGGCAGAGGCAGGCGGATCTCTGTGAGTTCCAGGCCAGCCTGGTTTCCAGAGTGAGTGCCAGGATAACTTTGCAGCTCTTAGCTCTAATCTATACTGGAGCCCCATTGCTATGGTGATAAGGTATGGAACGGCACGTTATAATTTTCATTGTTTAACCTCAGTATTTCAGTGGACTTGTGTAACTAGACTGTGATTTTCACAAATGTAGTTTAGCATCTGCCTCGCTTTGTGTGAACAAGAAGGCTAACAGGCCAGAGCTGGGTAGACATCTGTCCTCCAAGTAGGCTGTGATTCTGGTGAAATCTTTTCTTCCCAAGAGTTGCCTTTGTTGCAGGGACCACTCTGAATATATTTCATAATGAGCATTTTCCTCACCTTTCTGCCAAAGCCACAAGGGGCTCTTTCTTGGCTCTTTCTGGTGAGAACTTGGCTGAACTCCTGGGGTAAAGCTCACAACAGTGTGAGGCTCCTAGTTTGCAGGTTCCAGGACCTTCACAATTGTTCTCATTCATCCTCCAGCCATTCCCTGAATCGGAGCTCCAGCTATGGTTGCTGTAGGCAGGCAGGCTGATCTCTCTGTGCCCCTTGGCTTTGCCTGGCTAAATGCATTTTAGGGTTTCCACTGAACTGCAACCTCAATTCTAAGATGGGTCCAAGAAAATTCAATGATCTTATGTTTTCCCCACTTTTTCTTTTTATACAGACAAGTGTGATACCCTCTAACTTCCAAAGACTTCCTGCCAGAGCCAAATCCAGAAATCTGTTGGGTTTTTTTCTTACAAAATCATAAAATTCAAAATATAATCAGTTCTCTGCAACAATCATGGGTTGTGCCTCTCTGAATTCAACCAACCATAGTGTAGTGGTTTGTTTGATGATGTCCCTCATAAGCTCATATGGTTGAATATTTGGTCCCCAGTTGGTGGTGTTGTTTGGGTAAGTTAAGGATGGGGGTATACTTGCTGGAGGAAGTATATCACTGTGGGTGGGCCTTGACATTTCAAAGCCTCATGCCATTCCCAGTGTGCTTTTTGCTTCTTGCTTATGGTTTAAGATGTGAATAAGCTCCCAGCCTCTGCTCTAGCAGCCCTGTCTGTAGCTTACTGCCATGCTTCCCTGCCATCATGGTCTCTTCCTCCTGTGGGATCATAAGCCAAATAAACCCTTTCTTTAAGCTGCCTTGGTCATGGTGTTTCATCACAGCGATAGAAAAGTAACTTATACACACAGGTTGAAAGATACATTTAATTGCATCTGAACTGTGCTTGTTCGGTTATTTTTTGTCATTATTTCCAAATAAAGTGTAAGAACTATTGTTTGCAGTGTTTCCGTCATATGGGCAACATAAGCGATCTTCAGGTGGTTTAAGGTCTGCTAAAGGATGGGTATAGATTATATATAAATACTGTGATGTTTTATATGAAGGAATTGAGCATCAGCGGATTTTGGTACCCTGTTTGGGACAGGGATGGAGAAGCCCCGGAATCAGTCTCCATGGACAGATACCAAAAGGTGACGATGCATAACATTCTAGACCTACTTAGGGAAGGTCAATGCATCCTATACATAAAACCCTAAAGACAATGGAGTAGCATGATAAACATCCTACATCATCAAGAAAAGCCCAACCAACAAAGCAAAGAAGAAAGTGTTCAGCCTTGAAAGCCCATCAGAATAATCATTTGCCCACCCCTCCCGCCCCACCCCCATGTCCCCACAGGACTCAACTTCTAACCCTTAGAACCTTCTGTGGTAATGGCTCACCACACAGGCTCAGTACTGAGGATGAGGTGCTCAGCCAAGCAAATGCCCTCTTGTTGATTACATAAGAACAGCTATGCATTAGAAACACACACATAAATCAGCCTCCATGGACATGCCCCAGGGATTCCTTCTGCATCCCTCTAGAGACTCCTGGAGTCCCTAGTTCACCTACAGAGGAAATTCACCCAGCTCTGCTGTGACCTGGAACTCTCCACGTGGTTCTTTCTCTCCCTGACAGAGAGCCCTCCCCTGAGGATTATTTTGGCTCAGGGGGTTGCTGAAGCCAAGGTTCTGTACCTGATGTGCTAATGAATTCATGGAGCTGCCTGGCAAAATGAGGCGATAAGGGAGGTGATGGAGAAGTTCCTTTTTCTCCTCTTAAAAAAAGTTACCCTTTCTTTTTATGGGCGAGTCTATGCACACATACACAACACCATGCTGCCCTAAATAGTCAGGGTAATTTTCCCATCTCTCAGATCTCAGGATGTTCAGGGTCTGGCCTGGTTTCTGCTCTTCTGCCTCCGGGACCAACCCTCTTTCTCCACATGCAGGCTTGTTTGGTTTTTCTCTTGCTCTTGCTGGTGTGGTGGCGTTCCTCACAGCTGACATTAGATTCTTCCCTCTTGTTCTGAAATGAAAGCCCTTATGGCAGTACCCAAGCCTGCTTTCTTAATAGTGCCCAAAGTGCCAAGAATCTGCTATGTCCTGCACAAACACATTGGACAATGTTTACTGTTTTTACTCCCTATCCATTAATTAAAAATAAAGAACCTATATTGGAGCACTGACTATGTACTAGGCACTGGGATGGATAGATAGATAGATAGATAGATAGATAGATAGATAGATAGATAGATAAAATACCCTGACAAATGCAACTTAAGGGATAAAGGGTTTGTTTTTGCTCACAGTTCAGCGTTGCTGTCCATCTGGTGGGGAAGCCATGTGGCAGGAGCTTGAGGCAGCTGCTCACATTGCATAAACCATCAGGAAACACAAAGCTATGAATGTATGTGCTCTGTTCACCTTCTCCTTTTTATGCAGCCCAGGGTTGCAGCCCAAGATTCCAGCTCAGGGAGTGGTGCCGCCCACAGTGGATGGGTCTTCCCACCTCAGTTAACTTAATGAAGAAAATCCCCGGTAGGCGTGTCTAGAGGTCGACCTCCCAGGTGATTCTAAAGCTCATCCAGATGACAACTGAGATTAATCATCACAAATCCCACCAACCCCAAAGTCATCAATTGACCGATGGAGACATTGGTGGAAATGTCGGGTGCTGTCCCAGATCACAGACCCAATGAGTACTAGCACAGCTGTAGCTCAGTCTGTATTTGGCCCCACTATCTTTTAAACCCCTTGGCTGCGTTGCCTCCTGCAATGCTTGTAAATGATTTATCAGCTTGGTCCCCCACCAAAGCCGTTCTTTGCCAGCACCGCTGCCAAACAGCTGTTGGGACACAAGGCAGTTTTCCCTTCACCACAGGATTTTGACTGTGACTACAGTGACATCACAAATGAGTTCCCAGTTTCCTTCCTAGCCAAGCAGTCCTTGCTCCTCTGGGAAGACCCAGGTGTGTGTGGAAGGCATATCAGAGAGAAATAGCTCACGTGGATCCTTTTCAGATGTAACGCCTGGAGAGGGTGGAAATTCGTGAGGATGGCAGGAAGCAGTGTTCTCATTCAGATCACTCATCTTCCTCTCCAGCTGTCAAGACGGTATGAGACCCCCCCCCCAGGCTCCTGAGCCCTAGTGTGTCCCATCAGAATGAGACACAGCGTTCAGCACGCAGAAGCACAGCCATGAGAGCTGTTCTTTAACTTCTATTACAGGGCTAAGAGAGGGCGTGGGCAGCTATGGTCCACAAACCACCCTCAGGAACCTTTATCTCAAACAGGCAGAGAGGGTTTTAGTCCCTCTAAGCCTACTCTTGACCCCAGTTCCTCATACATTCATATGCATATGAACTACTGATTATCGTGTCTGTCTTTTGAACAAGCTCCCAGGATTCGCTCACAGGAGATGCTGTTGGGGACTACACTTGGGCAGCAAAGGCCTGTGTGAGCTCGATCTGTTCTAGCCGCTTAGCTGTTTAAGAGGTTGAGGCTGCACAAGTATGGAAAGTCTCAGGTCTTGCTGTGAAGACACAACAGCAATGATGTCAGTGCTTGATGGTGCATTCACAATGATGGTGCAAATGCTGAGGCTACTGGTGGTGATTATAGTATTCATGGGGATGATGGTGTTTATGAAGACAGCGATGGTAGTGGTCATGGTGATCGTGGTGGTAGTGATGACGGTAGAAAAGGTAGTGTGGGGGCGTGGTGGGCTGGCAGTGGTGGTAGAGTAGGGGGAGTGATGGTGGGGATGGTGGTGATGGTGGTGTGAGGAGTGATGGTGGTACTGGCATGGGGGAGTGGTGATGGTGGTGTTGATGGCAGTTGCTTGATAATGATGGTGTTTGTGGCAATGGTGCTGGAGGTGACAGCAACGATGATAATCATATCACATCAGGTACAGCTTTAGAGCTTTCAAAGCATTTCTGTATGGCTTCCCATGGTACAAAAGAAAGAGAATAGGATTTATGGTCTAGAACATAGTCTAGCTCACCACCCACAGGCTGTGTGACATCTGGCAGCTGCATTCCCTCTCTTTCCCCTATTTACCTCATTTATTGTTATCTGAAGGGATAGTAATGTCCCTTAGTGCAGTAATGTCCCTGAGTGTAAGCCTGTAACCCCAACACTTGGCAGGCTAAGGCAGGAAGATTGCTTCAAGCCCAAGGCTAGCCTAGGCTACATAGCAAGACCTTGTCTCAACACGCACACACACACACACACACACACACACACACACACACACACACACACGAGTTAGCAACATTCTCTTGAGGTTGTCCTGAGTCCCACATGATCTTCATAAGGGTTCACATATTACACACGCACAGGACATCTGACCTGAATCAGGTCCAAGCTATGAGGGAAAAGTTCCCCAGGACCCATGCAGTGTCGTTTGCAAGTCCCAGGTGGCCAATCCTGTAGGCTGCTCGTTTTGTTTGTTCTAAGAGCCTTCATCAGTTGGGTCTGTGGGACTAATTGCCCTCTTGCTCCTTGCTCTTGAACTTTCCTTGAAGCCTACACCAGACGATCTCCCAGATGAAAGAGGAGATCTGGAGTCTGGCCCCAGTGTGGCACTGTCCCTCTAGATAAGAGCCTCAATAGTCACTTCTCACCCCCTAGTGTAATAAAAGTGTTAGACTGGCTGTCTCCAAGGATGCTTCTATTGTGAGAATGTGTTGCCTCTTATTTGGGTGGGTGACCTCCCCTAACATCCTTCCTCTGAGATAAAGCTGTTAGCTCAGAGGCCTAGTTGGAATGATGAGGTTGCAAGACCCATTCCTGGAGCCCCAGTCTACCCTGAACTGTCTCTGGCCAAGGGCAAAAAGACCAGAACTGGTGGGTAGCACTAGACCCCAGCCAGCGCCCACCACATGGCCCCATGGGTGCACATTAGTCAAGCTTTGTTTTGAAAAGTTCCAGGAAGAAATTTATTGATATAAGCTGGAAGTTGGTTGGCCACATTAAGAACACTGCTTCCCTCTTCCTGACATCCCAATGGCTACAAAAGGAGCTTTGTGGTGTGGGGCAGCCAGTCCAGGATGTGACCATCAGATAGAATCACCCCTTAATAGGCTGCAGCATCTGCTAAAGAATGCTAGATGCGCCTGGGGATGGGGACCCCGTCCCCAGACTGGTGACTCTGAAGGGGAGGGCCTGGCATGAGCACTGGCTGAGGCCACCCCTCTCCCGTGCCTCCCATGCTCACTCTGGAAGAGAACGGAAGTTGCTAGGAAGCCAAATATTGAGCAGGACTGATTGGTCTTTCTCTGTGGTTACCTCAGGAACACTCTGAGGTGCTGTCCAGGCCCTCTCCTAGGTCAGGAGAGCACAGCAAGTGAATTGGAAGAGACAGAATTGTGTATTCCAAGCTTGCATCATGCAGCCTTTCACTGTCTCCTTGCCTAACCTAGTGGCTGACCACGCTCTATTGTGCCGGAAGTCTAACCCATGAGGCAGAAGAAATTCTGTCACCTCACTGTTCTGTGAGTTCTCCTCCACCCACCAGAACCTTCGGAATCTCCTTCACCATTGCAATTCATATATCCAGCTTCTTGGCTGGGAAGCAACCTAAGCTGGTCACAATTTCCTTTCAAGCGGGGATATAGTCTTTCCCATCTCTATCCTATTCCTAAGAAGAAGAAAAAAGAAAGCAACCAAAAAACTCTTGGAAAAAACAATCGTTAAACGGGAAAGTCGTGATCCAAATGAGCAGTATTAGAGATAAGATGTGTTTTATTTACTGTTGATACATAAAACAATGAAATCCCCTTGATCCTGAGGCTAAGGAGATCGTTTTTGTAGTGACAGATGTATCTGCCTTTGATATACAAGGAAGAAAAACCAATCAGAGCCCATCATCAGGCTCTGTGCCTAGACACTCACACACAATTCACCATTTCAAATGTTGTTTGATGGTTTCTGTAATGGACCAT